TTTGGCTATTGCTATAAATATACCCCAGCGACTTAAGACTGGTTTGTCCTCCAGCGTCACATTTATCAAAGAATACTAGAAAAGCGTATCATCTTTTACACAACTGTTTTCAACATTGGCAATAATAAGAAATGTTTCCTGAGCACCAAATCAGCATATTACAATTGTAAATATTACAATTTCTGAAGAATTATGTGACTCAAGACTGAAGTAACGGCTGCTAAGAATAAATTACATTTTAAAATATATTAAATGAGAAAAGTTATTCTAAATTGCAACAATATTTCACAATATTATTGCTTTTACTGTATTTTTGATCAAATAATGCAGCCTTAGCCAGCAGAGGAGACTTCTTTCAAAAACATTTAAAGAATCTTTGAATTTCTGAACAGTAGTGTAAACGCAATTAAATTATTTCACCTGTGCAAAATACTGTTGAGTTATCACATTATTAACAAGCAGTGGGGACACTAAATGAATGAATGGATATATGAATGCTACTGTACCTCCATCTACCCCTCCACACTTCAGCCCGTCATGGTTGTCTGATGTGAGGAGAAGCTCGGAGATTCCCCGGGACAGTAACGCCTGTTGATTTTGAGAACAAAAACTCTGTAGGTATAAGAGAATTGGCTCACCATAACGCAGAGTAAATGATGATTTAATTTCATACCATACCTCTTTGATGAATGACATGTATTGCTCATCCTTTGCATATGAACCATATTCATTCTCTACTTGAACAGCAATAATAGGGCCTCCATTCTTATACTGCAGGGAGAGCAGTGGAGACAAATTCAAGACCAAAACCAACCAAATAAAAACTCAAACGAAACAAACCAAAAATAACACATATTTGACCTGGAGGGGTGTGACTCTCGGAATGAGTTTATCAAAGTACGAGTTCACAGCACTTGTGAAACCAGAGTAGGTCGTTCTTAATTTCATTTTCTTATCCTGCAGCAGCCAGCTGATTAAAAAAAGTATATATATAGTTTTATTTAAATATGTTTTATTAAAAAGACTAAAGAAAGCAAACAAATATACAGTACATTTTCATAACAGGTGAGACACTAACCTTGGTAACCCACCCAAATCCCACTCGGCACATATGTACGGCCCCGGACGCAGAATCACCCA